TTTATGATGCAGAGATATTGCAACAGAACGAAAAGTACCTGGAATCTCTACCATTGTTTCTATCTACCGATAATAACATACTTAAAACCTCTTACAACTCTAACTGTAGCTTTCCATTTGAAGGAATCATAAAGAAGGTCCAAAATATATAAGTTAATTTAATTTTCTACCTTATGCGTATTAGATATTTCCTTTCGATGCATAATCCAGCCCCATTAAAATTACTTTTAGGTGTTGTACACCCATTGCTTTTGTAATACGAAATGAGTTTTTGCTGAGATTTTGTGAAGCAAAATTCACAACGGATGAAGGTTATTTATGTCACTCTTACACTTTATATCTGTGATATATAACCCCATCGAGGTGTTGATCTGTTATTTGTTTTTTTTTCGTTACTATTACTTCATCACCCTGTACATAGTGTTTTTAACTGGAAATGAGGACTTTATTTGTTATTTTTTAACCAAAACAGTATGCATAGTCAAGTCTAATTTTCGAATATTGTAAGAATCAGGAATGAAAATAAAGAGAACTTTATATGGAGAAATAATCCCTCCACTTTTTTATGATTAATAATAAGTTTTAAAATATTTACAATCATAATTTTAAGAAAGTATCAGTATGTACAGGTATATGGTCAGTATTTTTTTGACTAAACCCCATATAATGTGACCATTGCATTATGCACACCTTTGCGCTTTTTATAAAATTCGAACATTTTCTATCACTTCTTGGTTTATTCTATTTGGATAAATGACACGAACTGCAATTTCTTTTGAATTCTAAATACTTTCTGTTAGACGATGTGCCTCAGCTTCATTTGCCTTAGAGTCTTTGGGACGTATAGAACTCTTGCGTGACTGTGGCCAGGTCCCTTGCGGGGTGGGGCGAGCCTTGTTGAGTGGGATGCCTTTCCCCGTCGGAAGGCAGAGAGCCTTGTCGCGCGTGTACGTGTGCTTCAAAAAGGCGAAGACCCCACTGCGTCCCGAAACGGGGGTAAAGTTCCCGAGGAGGAGAACATCGGCAACGTCGTGCTTTTCCACAAGGGTCGTTTCACACCGCCCCTCATGTCAGGCCAAGACCTTCCCGCCCACTTCCATGTTGGTCATTTTGTGTCCATGCGAGGCAAATTCACAAACCTCAATCTTAATGTAGAGGATGCATCCAACTCACAGCAGGTGATTCAGAGGAGGCACAGACAGTGAGACTACACAAAACCCGGCAGATCCTCATGATTTTAGAGGGTATGAGTATCGGTAGCGCCGACAGTGCACACGCAGCGACCATCCTGTGCGACAACCTGAACACTAGGGATGATGAAGAGTCGGGTTATCAGCGTTATTGGGGCTCGCCGCCCAGCTTCTTGAAGTTTTTTTAATCGTCTAGACTACCCCAAATGAAATGGTGGGCCCTGCCGCTTTACCGAGCGCATTTTCCTTCCGTGGGGTTTTTGATGCGGGTCCTGCACAAACTGCGGGGGATGGATGATGTCCAGCTTAATGGGCGGCTTGAGCGCGCCCTGGTGGCCATCACCCGCGTGATGACGGTGGCGGAGTTCGCGGAAATCCTCCTTTCGACCCTCGCGAAGCCGCCCTTACGTTGGAGCGCTGGCCAAACAGCTATACCCTCAGCATCCTTCGCTCCGCGGCCTCTCACGACTCTCTGTCTTACTTTGTCAAGGAAATATTCCCTTTTATTCAATTCGCGAGCCAACCCTTGTGGGAGGCCGAGCAGGCCCAACACCCGGCCGAACGCGCGCGATGGGCGGCGTTTCTTCATCAGTACTGGCGTGTTGCTGCGGGGTTTTATCAATTCCCCACCATCTTCACCGAGGACTCTTTTTGCGAGTTGTTTAAACCA